ATCCTTCTCTGACTGGCTTGTTTCACTTAGCATAATGCTCTCCAGTTCCATCCATGCTGTGGCAAATGGTAAGAGTTCCTTTTTCTTCTTCTTCTTCTTAAAGAATACCTTTCAGCATTTCATATAATGCTGGTTTGGTGGTGATGAACTCCTTTAGCTTTTTCTTATCTATGAAGCTCTTTATCTGACCTTCAATTCCAAATGATAGCTTTGCTGGATAAAGTAATCTTGGTTGTAGGTTCTTGGTATTCATCATTTTGAATATTTCCTGCCACTCTCTTCTGGCCTGCATGGTTTCTGTTGAGAAATCAGCTGACAGTCGTATGGGTACTCCCTTGTAAGTAACTGACTTTTTTTCTCTTGCTGCTTTTAAGATTCTCTCTTTGTCTTTTGCTCTTGGCATTTTAATTATGATGTGTCTTGGTGTGGTCCTCTTTGGATTCCTTTTGTTTGGGGTTCTCTGCGCTTCCTGGACTTGTAAGTCTATTTCTTTGACCAGGTGGGGAAGTTTTCTGTAATTATTTCTTCAAATATTTTTTCAATATCTTGCCCTCTCTCTTCTTCTGGCACCCCTATAATTCTGATGTTGGTACTCTTGAAGTTGTCCCAGAAGCTCCTTACACTATCTTCATATTTTTGGATTCTTTTTTCTTTTTGCTTCTTCGGTTGGGTATTTTTTGTTTCTTCGTATTTCAAATCTTTGACTTGATTCTTGGGATCCTCTTGTCTGCTGTTGGATCTCTGTATATTATTCTTTATTTCAGTCAGTGTATGCTTAATTTCTAGTTGGTCTTTTTTCATATCCTCCAGGGTCTCACTAAATTTGTCGGCGGTTTCCATAAAATTCTTGAAAAACCTTATAAACATGGTTTTGAACTCTATATCCAGTCATTTGCTTTCCTCCATTTCTGTCATTTGTGACCTGTTTCTTTGTCTCCGCATTTTTTATGCTTCCGTGTTGGTAGAGTGGCTTTGTGTGCTAGGTGTCCTATAGGGCCCAGTGGCTCAGCCTCCCCAGTTACCTGAGGTGGACACTCTTGGTGCCCCCCTTGTGGGCTTTGTGCACGGTCTTGTTGTAGTTATGCCTTGATTGTTGTAGGTATCACTGGGAGGAATTGACCTCCAGGCCAACTGGCAGTGAGAATCAGCTGTGTCTATGGTGGGAGAACTTCTGTGCTGAAGACACCCTTCTGGGGCAAGACTTGCTTCAGTGGGGCTTTGGTGCTCACCGAGTCTGCCCCCTGAGTGCGTCCCCTATGGATCTGAGGAGTTGTAATCTGGATGGTCCCACTCTGACCACTGGGTACACTGGCTCTTGGATCTAAGGAGGTGCTAATTTAGTCTCTGCCTGAGGTTACCCAGCAGGAGCTATGAAAAGATCTGCAGATTCCCCTTCCTTTTTTGGAGTTTGGAGGTGCCCAGATGAGGCCCAGCTGTGAAGCAATGCAAGCTGCTATGGGGCCTTGGGCCTTCTCTTGGAAGTTCTGGGTCTGTCTGGCCCAGCTGTAATTTGTTAGGTAATTTTCAGGTTGCAAAGGGCCAGGGCATTCGTATGCAAAAGCCTCTGCCGCAGCCTGGGTGGGGCAGGGTCTCATAGAATCAACAGGCGGAGCAAGCAGCTATGGCAAAGCTCAGCCCTGCCCTAAGGGGCTGCGCATCTCAGTGTCCCAGTAATTTAATTGCTGCAAGCACCTCTGAGGGAAAGCCACCCTCGAGTTCCGAGTTCTGCCCGCTGCCAGACAGTCCAGTTTCTCCTCGTATGAGTCCTGGGTCCCCAGAGACTTCCCAGAACTTGAGTTCAGAGCAGTCAGGAGCTTGTGACTCCCTCCCGATTCAAAAAGACAGCCGCGTCCTCAGGTACCAGCCCCTTTCTGCATGCACTCGAGCCTCTGTACCTTTGCACTTTACTTCCGCAGCTCCTGACTCAGTGTGCTTTTCTCTTTCCTTCTAGTTGTAGAATTTACACTCAGCCAGCCTTCCTGTAGTTCTGGATGATGTCCGATTTGTCTTTTTGTTCTATTTTTGAAGTTGTTGTAGGAGGCAGCAATTTCGGTGTTTACCTATGCCGCCATCTTGGTTTATCATGATATTATTTCGTCAAATAGGTTTTGTAACCCTTGTTCCTCTTTCTGTTGTTCTGGCACCCCTATTATTCATATGTTGTTTCATTTCATGTTGTCCCATAGCTCCCTTAGGCTCTCCTCCTGTCTTTTAATTTTTTTCTCCAATTGCTGACCAGTTTGGGTGTGTTTTGTTTCCCTGTCTTCTAATTCGCTAATTCGGTCCTCCGCTTCTCCTAGTCTACTGTTGAAAGTTTCAATGGTGTTTTTTATTGCAGCTATGTCACTCTTCATTTCTGCTTGGTTCTTACATAATTTATTGATTTTTTCATCTGTTTCTTCTTGCTTCTTGTATAAGTTGTTGATTTTTTCCTCCATCCGGTTTATGCACTCTAGGATCCTTAATCTGAATTCTTTTTCTGTCATGCTGCATGCCTCGGTTTCACTTAGCTGCTTTTCTGGTGAATCCTCCTTTTCTTTCCTTTGGGGGTTTCTTTGTCTACCCATGTTTGATCTCACCGACATATCTAGATGTTGAGTCATTCATTGGCTGCTCCCTGGGTGGCAGTGGCTCCTTGGGCTGCAGTTGGTCCTCGCGCGGTTATGGTAGCAGCTGCTCCTCAGTTGGCAGCAGCGCCTGTGGTGGGTGCTGTTCACCGCTGTGGTGGCTCCTCTGGCTGGTGAGGGGAGGCTTCACACACAGCTTGGAGCTATCTATATTATGTCAGCTTTATTAAAGAAAACTTTCCAGGTCCTAGGGAATCTTTACAACCCACAGGAACAAATATGGTTTCTCTTCTTATAATCTATAAAAATCACGTAATGGAAGGCATTTTCTTCATTCTATGACTGTCAAAGACATTGGTCCTATTTGCAGCTCAAATTTGATACAAAGATTCTTGGTGCTGATCTGACACTCTAATACAGAGGTCCTCAAACTTTTTAAACAGGGGGCCAGTTCACTGTCCCTCAGACATTCCATACGTGCGCACTGCGGGCCTGGGACGAGTCGGCTGCTAAGCAGGACAGGCATTGGCAGCTAAAACACCCGGCGGGCCAGATAAATGTTTTCAGCGGGCCGCATGTGGCCCCTGGGCCGTAGTTTGAGGATGCCTGCTCTAATAGCTGCATTTTACATAATGTCTTTTATCTATTTCTACATTCCCATTTTAAAATATGGCCCAGAAGTCAGCTGGGACGTGCCCTTCTACGCCAGACACTCATGCTTCGATCGCCAGCCAGGCCTAGGGACCGCACATGGTGCACGAATTTCATGCACCGGGCCTCTAGTCCTATCTAGTAACAGCCAAACATGGTAATTGACCGTACCTTTGCTACACCTCCCATTGGCTAATCAGCAAGATATGCAAATTAACTGCCAACAAAGATTGTGGCTAAGTTGCATACTGCAGGCAGAGCGGGACAGTGCCAGCCGCCAGCGCGAGCCGCCAGCCCGGCCCCCATGGGTGACCCCAGGAGCTGCCTGCCTGCCCCCCGGGACCTTATTGGTCCCGGGCTGCTGGCGGGCACCAGAAGCCCCAGAAGCCTCCAGATATGGCAGTAACTCTATCCGTAAACACTCTGAAAGTCAGTGGCATAAATGCACCAATTAAAAGACAGATTATGAGGGTGAATCAAAAACAAAACCCACTTTAAATATAAAGACACATATAGATTAAAAGTAAATGAATTAAGCTGCAACCTGTTTTGCTCAGTGGATAGAGCATTAGCCCTTGGACTGAAGGGTCCCAGGTTAGATTCCAGTCAAGGGCTTGTACCTCAGTTGCTGGCTTGATCCCCAGTCCCTATCAGAGCATGTGCAGGAGGCAACCAATCAATCTGTCTCTCCCTTTCCCTTCACTCTCTCTAAACTTCAATGGAAAAATATTCTTGGGTGAAGATTAACAAAAACAAAGTAAATGGATTAAGTAACATTAAAGAGATTATAAGAAAAATATATTCCAAATTTTGTTAGTTGTATAATGGTTATGTTTAAATTATTAACACCTAAGAAATTGGGTAAAGGGTACATATAATATGCTGTAGTATTTTATAGTTTTTTTTACATGTATGAGATTATTTCAAATTAAAATGTTAAAAATTAATAAAATATTAATTAAAATGTATCTGCATTACATGAAAAATCTCCTAATTGCTTCTAGCATAATTTATTAAATTGTGCTAAAATTTACAAGGGTTCAATTAAAAAATATCTTAATTCTAAATGATATAATAGAAAATATTTAATAGTGCAGTTATAAGAACTTATCTGAAAATAAAAATTTAAAGAAGGGATTAGCCAAAGAAAATATATGCACAACCCATGGACACAGACAACAGTATGGTGATGGCCAGAGAGAAGTGGGGAGCAAAAGCTGGGTAGAGAGGGCAAAAGGGGGAAAATAGGGACATCCTATATAATAATAATAAAAGGCTAATATGCACATTGACTGAACGGCAGAATGGCCGGTTGCTATGAGGCGCACTGGCCACCAGGGGGGCAGATGCTCAATGCAGGAGCTGCCCCCTGGTGGTCAGTGCACTTCCATATGGGGAGTGCCACTCAGCCAGAAGCTGGCTCATGGCTGGCCAGCGCAGAGGTGATGGCAGGAGCCTCTCCCACCTCCGTGGCAGCACTAAGAATGTCCAACTAATGGTTTAGACCTGATCCCTTGGGGGCCTAAACCTTTAGTCGGACATCCCCCGAGGGCTCCCTGGCTGCCAGATGAATGACTTGACTGCAAGCTTAGGCCTGATCCCCCGGGGAGTGGGCCTAAGTCAACAGGTGGACATCCCCCAAGGGGTCCTGGACTGCAAATGAGTGCAGGCAGGGCTGAGGGACACCCCGCCCCCCCACCGCCAGTGCACAAATTTTTGTGCACCGGGCCTCTAGTCATTAAATAAACCTCCTAAAATGCATCAGGAAGTGGGAAAACTCACCTGGGATTCATGCGTTTTCTGCTGCTCTGGGAAAAGTGTAGAGATTGTTAACAGTGCGTGGACCTAAGGGAGAAGAAACAAATAATTGGAGTCATGAGGAACCTGAGTTGCTGAGGCAGGAACCTCTAGCACAGTGGTTCTCCACTTTCTGGCCCTTTAAATACAGCTCCTCATGTTGTGACCCAACCATAAAATTATTTTCGTTGCTACTTCACAACTGTAATGTTGCTACTGTTATGAATCATAATGTAAATATCTGATATGCTGCATGGTCTTAGGCGACCCCTGTGAAAAGGTCATTCGACCGCCAAAGGGGTCGTGACCCACAGGTTGAGAACCACTGCATAAGAAACACCAAAGAAACTCAATAAAATGACACCCTGTGAACACTCAGAAGGGCCTAAAAGGGTGATCGAGGAGAAACAAACTCTTAAGTATTGTTAACTCCAAAAGGATGCGAGGCAATTAGACCAGGTACTCCACTGGTGAATATAAACATGGACTCCTTTTACAAATAGTTGTCCATCCTATGTAATAAAAGCCTAATATGCAAAATGTCCCCTTGACCAGGAGTTCGACTGAGAGTTAGACTGCTGTGATGTGTGCTGACCACCAGAGGGCGGAGTGAAACATGGCGGGCATTGGCCACGCAGTGCTGGCAGCAGGCAGCAGTGAAGGTGCTGGCAGCCCCAATGGGCCCCAAGGAGAGCGGGACCACGTGGGATGGTGGAGCAGGTAAGCAGGCAGCACCAGGCCAAGGCGTGTCAAGCAGGGCCTGATCATCCCACCAATCACACTGCAGATGACGACCAGTAGTGGGGGGTGGGGCCGCCAACCAGCTCCCAGCCGCTGAGGGAGCCGAGCAGGGAGCCCGGCCCAGATCAATCATCCCACATGAGGTGACCAGTGGCCGGCAGGCCCTGATCGTCCGATCAGCGCCAGGCCCCAGGCTGGAACAGGGAACTGGGGGTGGGTGGTGGCTACCAACCTCTTGCGGCACCCGGGCAGGGGGCTGCAACCTCTCGCTGGATACCTGGGGGCGGGGGTGACCAGACAAAGGTGTAGTGAGAATGTGGTGTGTCCACCGAGCTCACTCTCACTCCCCCTGCTACCCTTCCTTGGGACGTCAGGGCTGGCACACCAGGAAAGCCCCACGCTCAGGTGCCAGGTGCCCGCGAAGAGCCTGCCCCACAACGGCGCAGCCTCTTCCAGGTGAGCTAGGCTGTAGGCCAGGACCGCAGGGGCCTGTGTGTGAGGCCGGACAGGAAAGAACGCTGCCTAACCAGCTTCCGTGTGGCACAGCTGGGCAGCCCAGAGGCCCATGCTGCGCCCTGGCCCGCAGCGTCCGGCCACACTCACCACAACTCTGCGTGAGGACTCAGGCACCATGACTGAGGCAGAGGAGGGCACGTGGGGGCCCAGGGGCCCAGGTGCTGCCCAGAGCCTGAGATCAGCTGGGACCTGCCCTTCCATGCCAGACACTGACACTTCGATTGCCGGCCAGGCCTAGGGACCGCACCGGTGCACTAATTTCATGCACGGGGCCTCTAGTCTACACTAATAAAAGAGAAACATGGCAATTGGCATACCACCGCTACCCTTCCCATTGGCTAATCAGCGAGATATGCAAATTAACTGTGAGCCAAGATGGCGGCCGGCAGCCAGGCAGCTGAGAACAGGAGGCTTGGTTGCCCCAGCGATGGAGGAAGCCAAGGTTCCCTGTCTGCAGCTGAGGGGCTCTGAGCTCCTGAAGCAACAACTCCAAAAGATACAATGTTTCAATTATAGAAGCTAAAAGATGGTGGTTAATTTGCATACTCAGGCTCCAAGCAGAGCAAAGCCAAACAGCCCTGAAGCGGCAGGGCAGACAGGCCTCAGGGACCCGGGATCAGCGGAGCCGAGAGGCCTCAGGACCCTGGGATCAGCGGAACCGAGAGGCCCCGCAGCCCCGGTTATCAGTGGAGCCGAGAGGCCTCCTGGCCCTGGGATCAGCAGAGCCAAGAGGCCTCAGGACCCTGGCATCAGCGGAGCCGAGAGGCCTCCCGGCCTGGGATCAGCGGAGCCGCGAGGCCTCAGGAACCCGGGGATCAGCGGAGCCGAGAGGCCACCCGGCCCCCAGATCAGTAGAGCTGAGAGGCGTCCTGTCCCCTTGATCAGCGGAGCAGCGAGGCCTCCCAGCACCAGGATCAGTGTGACAGGGGGCAGCGACCAAACCCCTGATCGCCCTGTGGGCTCTGGGTGTGACAGGGTGCGAAGCCCCAACCCTCTGATGGGCCCTGATCTGTGTGTGACAGGGGGGAGCTCCCCAACCCCCTGATGGGCCCTGCTCTGTGTGTGACAGGGTACGGAGCCCCAACCCCCCTGATGGGCCCTGCTCTGTGCGTGACAGGGGGTGGCGCCGCAACCTCCCTATGGACCCTGCCTTGAGTGTGACAGGGGGCGGTGCCCCAACCCCCCAATCGGCCCTGCTCTGAGCCCAACCAGGGGCTGCACCTAGGGATTAGGCCTGCCCTCTGCCACCCGGGAGCAGGCCTAAGCCAGCAGCTCGTTATCTCCCGAGGGGTCCCAGACTGCGAGAGGGCACAGGCCCGGCTGAGGGACCTCCTCTCCCCACCCCGAGTGCACAAATTTTTGTGCACCGGGCCTCTAGTCATTAAATAAAAGGAGAAACAAACATTGTTTACACTCTTTCCATTGCCAAAAAAAAACAAAGTATCCACAGGAGCCCAGAATATGAGCTCTCAAAAGTGGGATAAATGTGTATCAGAGCATAGTTTTTATTATCTAACTTAAAGTTGGTTGCCACTGAGCTTAATCTTTTATCAAGAAAACGGTAATACAATGGGCAGAACCCTTGGCCTGGGGGTCCTGTTAGCAACGCCGCCCAGAGGCCCAGAGACCTAGGACAAGCCGCCGCCCTATCAGGCCTCCCTTCCCGTCACCCAGGCGGCAGAGCATGGCCCTCCGGGACGGGGACGGACCCTGCGCTGCAAGGGCCGGCACACACTTGGGTCCGATCCAAGGCGTGAGGGGCGCGCAGAGTCACAGTGGGAACCCGGGGAGGGCGAGAGGCTGAGCGAGGGCAGCTGGGGTGCGCGGGGAGGAGGGGACGCAGCTGGGGCGCCATCGTCACCTCGCCATCCCCCAGGAGACCGAGAAGACACCCTCCCGGGGCACCCACTCGGGAGCAGCCCGCCCTGCCCTCGGTGCCCACCCGCCGACCTGCCGGAAGCGTCCACTGCTCCCCCCACGCACCCCTGGCCGCCGCCCGGGAGGAGCCACCCAGCCCTGCCCACCGCGGGAAGGTCCAGAACTGGCCGAGGCCGCGCACGCACCACCTACCCCATCGGGAGTCGCTGAGCTGCCCAAGGCCCCGCCGCTGCGCCCCCCAAGGAGCCGGCTCTGCGCCTGCGGGACAAACTCATTCAGAAGATCCCGGCGCCCCAGGCCTCACCCTGCCCCTCGGCCCCTCCGGGATGGCCCTGGGGGTCCCCGCTCGCGACGCCGCCCGCACAGCCCAGCGTCCGCCCCCCGGACCACGGCACCCTAGCCCAACGGACGCCGGCGCCCGGGAACCGCGGGCAGCACCGGCCTGGGCACGCACCTCTAGCGCCAGCAACGGCAGCGGCAGTGCGCGTGCGCGGACGGGCCCACAGGACACGCGAGGACCACGCGGGGGCCCTGCCAGGGGTCCACCCCTCAAGTTAGGGACCTCCCCACGGTCTCTCCTCCGCCGTCCGGGGAGGAGGCGCTGAGCTCAGAGCACTGGCCGCCTGGACCCGGCCCGGTTTCCCACTCACCCATCGGCGCTGCTCTTAGGGACCAAGGAAAGGTGTCGCCTGTGTGATTGCCACCGGCGATCCTGGTCCTTTCTTTGATCTGGGACTTTTCCTGTTAGAACCCGAGGTTCCACCACAGCCAGGCGAGGAAAGGGAGGGGCGTATCATGTCCACTTACCTGAAATACTGGGCGTTTCACTGAAACACTAGGAACCTGCAAATGCCCAGCCATGTCATGAAATAGCATTACCCATGTCCATATGGTTTCTCCAAGGACAGAAAAGATCATAGAAACGAAGTCTTCTACATTACACAACTAATGCATAAAAACTGTAAAAGCAATCATCAGAAAATACAACCGAAAAATAAAAGCAGAGCTCACCTCTCAAGGAGCATTGTTTACATTGGGTAAAAGTGTCACTTTTTTTAAAATGGGATCTTGCCCAGCCGGTTTGGCTCAGTGGAGAGAGCCTCGGCTTTCGGCCTGCGGAATGAGTGGTACCGGGTTTGATGTCCCTCAAGGGCACATTCTCGGTTTCGGGCTTGATCCCCAGTAGGGGGCGTGCAAGAGGCAGCCAATCAATGATTCTCATCATTGATGCTTCTCTCTCCCTCCCTCTCCCTTCCTCTCTGAAATCAATAAATTATATATATATATGATTAACTGGGATCTTAAGGACTATGATTAACACTTCTTGGCAGTGAAATAATACAACCGTGTTTTGGGCCAATTGTTTCTTAAAAGCTGGTGGGAGGGGGGCAGGATTAAAAATAAAATCTCCTGCCAACCCAGAAAAATCATCTCCACAACTGTAGAAATAAAGAAAACAGTTGTGTTTATTGTTGAATAACCATTAAACCAGATTGTGAGGCTCGTGGCAAGCAAACCAAGGAGATTTCAAAAACAAACGAACCTCATCTTTCCAAATAGCTCAGCAGGTCCAGTCATTACAGAGGTGTTCTCAAGCTCATGGTTACTCATCTCGTGTAAAAGGGCAGCACCATTTGCTATACATTCTTTCACAGTCCATTGTAAATTTACCTGGTAGTCTGGGTAGCCATCCATGTTGGGTAATTGCCTTTATCCCAAGGAAAAAGGAAAGCACTCATATCTCCATGAAAAGTGGGTAGTTCAAACAAAGGGTCAAAAGCAAGTCTCAGGGCCAAGAGGTGGGAACAAGCCATGTATCCATCAGCAGATGGATGGATAAGCAAAATGTGACCCTTATAATGAATTCTAGTGGCCCAGTGCATGAAATTTGTGTGCAAGGGGGGGTGGTCCCTCAGCCCAGCCTGCACCCTCTCCAATCAGGGACCCCCTGTGGGATCAGGCCTAAACTGGCAGCTGGACATCCCTCTCGCAATCTGGGGCTGTTGGCTCCTAACCACTCACCTGCCTGTCTGATAGCCCCTAACTGCCTCCGCCTGCCTGCTTGATCACCCCTAACTGCCCTACCCTGACAGCCTGATCTCGCCCCCAACTGCCCTCCCCTGATGGCCTGATCGCCCCTAACTGCCTCTGCCTTGGCCCCCACCACCATGGCTTTGTCCGGAAGGAAGTCAGACATCCGGAAGATGGCCAGTTGACCCGGTCTAATTAGCATATTACCCTTTATTAGTATAGATCAGCCGTGGGCAAACTACGGCCCACGGGCCGGATCCGGCCCTTTTGAAATGAATAAAACTATTGAAAAAAAAGACCGTACCCTTTTATGTAATGATGTTTACTTTGAATTTATATTAGTTCACACAAACACTCCATCCATGCTTTTGTTCCGGCCCTCCAGTCCAGTTTAAGAACCCATTGTGGCCCATCGAGTCAAAAAGTTTGCCCACCCCTGGTATAGATAGATTATATAGGATAGGATTGCTTAAATGGGGGGGGGGGGGAGCCTTTTTCAGAAGGAGGAGATGCTCTTGGCAGACAAAAATACATAATCCCTATATCTGGACTGATAGCCAGCCGTATGCACTATACTGCCAAACCTGTCATTAAAAAATTGAGCCGAAACCGGTTTGGCTCAGTGGATAGAGCGTCGGCCTGTGGACTGAAGGGTCCCAGGTTCGATTCCGGTCAAGGGCATGTACCTGGGTTGCGGTCACATCCCCAGTGGGGGGTGTGCAGGAGGCAGCTGATCGATGTTTCTCTCTCATCGATGTTTCTAGCTCTCTCTCTCTCCCCCTTCCTCTCTGTAAAAAATCAATAAAATATATTTTAAATATATATATATATATATATAAAATTGAACTGCTTTCTTACACCAAACAGCTGTTGCCCTTAAAACCCCTCCTCAGCCCCCACCTTAGGTTCTGCCTTCACAGTTTACCCAGATAAGGTTCTGATTGGTTGATTTCTATGCCAGTCAGCATCAGAAGCTCCGCCTCCTAGGCAGCCATTGGTTCCTCACAATTCACACAGATTTGGTTCTGATTGGTCAGTTTCTATGCCAGTCAGCATCTCCGGGCCTATCTCCGGGCCTGATCAGAGAGGCGGGGTTGATGAGCAGCCCCCCTGGAGGCCCTGAGAGAAAGAGAGGCACAGCTGCTGGACGGGCCCAGAGAGAAAGAGAGAGGCAAGGGCTGATGAACAGCTGCCATGGAGGTTATGGATCAGACCCTGCCTCTCTCTGGGCCTGATCCGCAGCCCCTTCGACAGTCAGTGCCGGGTCACCGACACCGGTGACCCAGCACTGACTGCAGGACTGACTTCTAGTCGGTCAAGCTTTCGGTCGTTTTGGATGTTACAGACCCTGGGTTTTTATATATTAGGATTATTCATCCTTAAAAAGGAAGGCAATCCTGACACATACTACAACATGGATGAACCCTGAGGACATTATGCTGACTGAATGAGCCAGAAATAATGGACAAATACTGTCTGATACCACTTATATGAGGGGCCTAGAGTGATCAACCTCATAAGGACAGAACGGTGAATGGTGGCTGCCAGGGACTGGGGAGAGACAGGGGGAGTCAGTACTTAATGGCTGCAGAGTCTCAGTTTGGGAAGATGAAGAGGTTGTGGAGATGGATGATGGTGATTGTAGCACAACCATGTGAATGTGCTCAATGCCACTGAATTTAACCCTAAATGTGGTTAAAATGTTAAATTGTGTTATGTTATTTTACCACAAAAAAAGAAGAAAGGGAGAAAGAGAGGGAAGGAGGGAAGGAGATCTCTCCATGTAGTCTCTTTGTGCATGGGACATTTCATCCATAGGATACATGAGAGGTAGTAAAATGTCTGGGTCAAGGATGATACACAGGCTGAAAATGTGTAGACTAGAGTTTAATTGGAATTGAGGGGCAGGCTTTGGGAAATCCAGAGACTCCCTGAAATTGGAGACACCATCTGAGTGTGTGAGCACATGTGTAGTTTTCTAAGATTTTAGGTTTGCACAGTCTCTTGGACTAAAAGATGCCTGAGGCTGGAAGATGTGTGTCCTCCAGTACAGAATCCCGAACATCGTGTCTGCGACCAATGAGCTTCGGCAAATGGAGTGTTTTCAGTAACTATTTAATACGAGGAGTCAATGTAGCTGGGATCTTTTTTACATACATATCTCATTCTTGTAAGGTCTGAGCACTTCTGCTTCCCCTAAATGTCCTTGTGACCTCCCTCTCTCATCAGACCAAGCTCTGAAATAGGAATGGGAAAGGAGAGCCCAGCCTATTTCAAGTTCAGAATGGAGAGAACACAGCATCTCCTGGAGAGCAGTAAAGAGTGATGGTGATATGTGAAATCTAATTAACAAAATAAACTGATGAACAGAGTGGATCCAGAGATAAGGAAGCATGGAACAGAGTGTGGAATCTTGGAGGGAAAGTGGGGGAGGGTGGGTGGAGAGGAGGTAATCAACCAAAGACCTTCAGTGGTTCTCAACTTTCCTAATGCCGCGACCCTTTAATACAGTTCCTCATGTTGTGGTGACCCCAACCATAAAATTATTTTCATTGCTACTTCATAACTGTAATTTTGCTACTGTTATGAATCGTAATGTAAATATCTGATATGCTATATGTGTTTTCCGATGGTCGCGACCCACAGGTTGAGAACATGGACATAGACAGTGGGGTGGTGAGGCCTGGGGCGGGGTGTGTGGGGGTGGGGGCTGGAGGGAATCGATGGGGGAAAAGGGGGGACATATATAATACTTTCAACAATAAAGATTTTTTAAAGAGAATTATGCTGACATTTGAGGATAGTGTTGGAGGCTGGACAGAGGCTGTTGGGTCAGGGGCAGGAGGTATGGTTGACCCCCGATTCCCAGGAGCAGTGCACACATGGCAGTCCATGGGTTTGGATCCTTCAAGCTGCTTGCCAGGTTGGAATGAATAATGACATCAGAGGCTTCCGACCTTCCTGATTGGAAGGACCAAATTCCGTGGTGCTTGGCAACGGAGGTGGGCAACAGCATCTTCTCCAAGAATTTGGACAGACAAGTGTCTAGGTGTCCTGAAAGGGAAGATTTGGGAGAAATAATGGCCAGTTGTGAACCAAGTTTCCAGGGTGAGAACCAGAGACCACAGCCTAACTGCTCAGGGTGCCCCCTAGAGGTGAGAGTGGTTGAAGTCGTCCCAGGACCATCAGGTGAGGAAACTGGGGGCAGAAGGGATTTGAGAGGGTTGACCATTGAGGAAGGGGGACCTGAGTAGTGTGTGTGTGAGAGAGAGATCCAGAAAGCCAGGGATTGGAGATCACAGGAGCTGGGGACAAGGAAATCCCCACGAAAGGAAAGCCTGGGAAGGAGGCTAGGAGATGAGATCCAAGGATGAGAGAAGGAAAGGGAGGAAATAGTGAAGGGTTCCTCTCTTTTCCCCTCCAGTGGGAGAAATTATCACCAACAAGGAAGGGTTTTGAGGACAGAGACATAGAACAATGACAAGATGACTGTGGGACAGGTGGGCATCCCCAAAGGAGTGAGATGGAGAGATGGCTGGGGGGAAGGCCAGTAGACTATGAGACTGGAGACAACGGAGGGGTTTGCTTTGGGGACGGGGAGCACATGAGGTGGACTGGGTATGCAGCTTGTTTTATGTGACCAGTAGCTGAATTCCAGAGGCAAATGCTGTGAATTGTAACTGGTTTTTTACTCAGGCCCCTGTGCAGAGGGCAGCGCCCGGCCTCGATCTGCTGGACGGAAAAGGAAGAGGGAGTGGCCCAGAGAGGAGGGGTCCGAGGAGGAGTCTGCCCCTGGGGCTCAGGACCTCTGGGTCGTGGAGACCCTCTGCGGGCTCAAGATGAAGCTGAAGAGGCAGCGGGTGTCTTCAGTGCGACCTGAGCACCATCAGGCCTTCACCAGGCTGCTCGGTAGGAAGGGGCCCTGCAGCGCACCCTCCAATCCTACGCTTTAAAAAGGACCTTCCAATAACTACTCCTTCCCAGTAGGAAAGAATTCCCTGCCAGTTAGCGAGCTCCCTCTCCTAGGAGGGCTCCGTGTCCATCACTCACTGGGGGGGCACTAAGAGATAATGGAGGACTAGGCTACACTTCAAATGGGGCTGCACTTGGGGTCAGGCAGCTCAGTTTCAACTGCACCCTCTGCAACTTCTCAGCTCTGACTGGCCTTCTGATTCTAAACACCTTCATCTGTGTAAGAGGGCACATAATAAGGCCACCTTCCCACCCTGAAGGGACTGTCCACTGACAACGGCCATGGCATCGGATTATTTCAGCTCTGAATCGTGCAGATGTGTGACTGACACCCTAGCTGTCACTCAGTCACCCCAGACTTGGGGGGTAAGGTTCAGGGGTCACCACTGCTTCCTTGTCCCAGGAACTATCTCCTCTGTCCCTCTTCCTACTGGCCTCGGCCTTGGCCACAATCCTGAAACTTCCCCAGTAGGGCCATAGTTCTGCGCTTGGCCCTGGAACGCTCCCATGGCAACCCTGTTGCTGTCCTCAAGCGAACATATGCCCTCTTTCACAGAGGATCCTGTCATTAAAAGATTCCTGGCCTGGGACACAAATCTGAGGCTCTCTGACAAGGTAAGAAGTACCCCTGCTCTGCCATCTATCCTGGGGCAGGGGAGAGCTTTCCGAGCCCACAATTCTCTCTCCAGCCTGATGCCTTGTCACCCCTTCCCTTCGGGGACCGAGGGGTTTCCTGCAGTGTGGACGGGCAGCCCTGCCTCAGCCCTGGCTCCTCTGGGATCTTGCCCCTGTGGTTTTGGCCACATCAAGTGCCCTCTTCTCTCTGCCTTTGGGGACACCCCTTTGCTCCAGCCTGTCAAAGACCCTCCTGGAGCTGGCTGTCCTGAGCACACGCCCTGAAACCGCAGCGCTTGCCACTGGGAGCATCAGCCAGTCACTCACCCCACTGTTCCTCCTCTTTCACAACGGGAGTCCTTTTATGTTTGTTCTCTTTCCATCAGTATCTCCTGTCCATGGTGATAGCTTATTTCAGCCGCGCGGGCCTCTTCTCCTGGCAGTACCGACGCATTCATTTCTTCCTGGCCCTGTGAGTATCTTGCTTATTCCCACCAGTCAGTATTCATACCCTGGGGAGGAGGAGGGAGACGAGTTGTATCTCTGATCTTTCATCTATTTTTTTTAATTTTTGTTAATTACCACCCAGGGATACTTTTTCCATTGATTTTTTTAGAGAGAATGGAAGGGAGGGGGAGAAAGAGAGAGAGAGAAACATCAATGTGAGAGAGACACACCCATTGGTTGCCTCTCACAGGAGCCTCGACCAGAGCAGGGAACTGAGCCTGCAACTGAGGTAGGTGCCCATGGACTCTGAGACCCTTCAGCTGATGCTCTAACCACAGAGCTAACCAGCTAAGGCCCTTTCATCTATTTTTATAACCTATTTGTACTCTTCCGTCTAGTTATAAAAATGATAGAATTGTAGTATAGGGTTTTTTATACTCTTCTTTGTAAAAGCCAACAACCCTAATGTCAAAAGATTGAACAAAATAAAAGAAAACACAAAAGCCTCATAAAGAATTGCTACCACTTCACTTTACCCCCAACTAATAGGCTTGGGACTAGCCATTTCGAATTCATTCTTTCTCTCTCTCTCTCTCTCTCTCTCTCTCTCTCTCTCTTTCTCTCTCTCTCTCCCCCCTCCCCCATAACCACACCAAATGTAATGGTTGCCGTCCTCAATGCGGGCCTTCATTAAACAACACAGATCTAGCCCTGGCTGATGTGGGCTGAGTGGGTAGGAGTGTTGTCCCCTAAACCAAAAAGTTGAGGGTTCGATTTCCACTCAGGGCACATATGCAGGTTGTAGGTTCAATCCCAGCCCCAACTGGGGTGCATGCAGAAGGCAGTGGATCAGAGTTTCCCTCTCTCTCTTTCTCTCTCTGTGTCCCTCCCTCCCTTACCCTCTCTCTAAAAATCAATGAAAATATTCTCAGATGATAATTAAGAAGAAAAGTATTAAACAACACTGATCTATTGTAAAATGCTACCCAGGGGTGTTTCTTACAAATCTTCCTGAATATCCTTCCAAAACACAGGTTTAACCACTTCACCAACCACCACAAGAATTTCATTTGCTAATTTCTTTCTAAATCAAGGCCAAAGTTTTCAGCTTGAATTCAGCTGTCTCAGGGTCTCCATCAATACCACCCCGATATCCCATTCTTTGTTTCACTGCTCTTCTAAACACCTTTTCCTGTTTTCTTCCTATTGCTTTCTGTCTAGGTATTATTTACACATATGTATTTGAAAATAAAGATGTATTCTTATACTGATTCAAACAAAAAATATTCAGATAACTTCTCTGACCCCCTAATTTCTACATGCCAGCAGTTGGTTATTCAAACTGTATTACAATGTGATACCTTGGATTACAATGACTTCTCTTCTTCCCCTTTCTCCTTCCCCAATCCCATTCAACTAGATACCTGTAGAGGACAGCTCTTGTCAAGATATCAATGGCTTCCTAAAACACTCCACACAGGGGTTTTTTTATTTTGCAAATGTTCAAGTTATATTGAGTCTGTAAGGTAATCAGTTTTCCACTTGACTATGAGAAAAAGCATTCATTCATTCATTCATTCATTCTGTGCAACCTTTAAAGCCCATTCATGGCCAAGGAATGTGAGGATGGGAAGAGAATTTAAAAAGTCCTGTTGAGCCCTAGCCGGTTTAGCTCAGTGGATAGAGAGTCAGTCTGCGGACCATAAGGGTCCCAGGTTTGATTCTGGTCAATGGCATATGTCTGGTTGTAGGCTGGATCCCCTGTGGGGGCATGCAGGAGGCAGCCAATCAGTGAGTCTCTCTCATCATTGATGTTTCTATCTCTCTCTCCCTCTTCCTTCCTCTCTAAAATCAATAAAAATGTATATTTTTTAATAAGTACTGTTGAGTTAATGGGCCTGTTAGTCATTTGGCAGGAAAGCAATGAAGACAGAAAAGGACCGCGTGGTCTCTGCCCTCAGGAGCTGTATGGGCACTGACACTATAGGGAGACAGGTGTGTGCACACACAACAGGGTGAAAGGAAGGGGCCCGGCTTCCCCGCTGAATTTTATCTTCCTCATCAAGGTCTGAGAGGTGCCCTCAGGTCCCGCTCAGCTTCCTGATGCCTGGGTGGCCCTCAGAGATACTGGATCGGGCTCCCGAGGTCCTGTGTGAGGAGGATCCAGCCTGTGTGCTTCCTGGGAAGCTGACCACAGGCGGGTGCTTCCTGCCTGCTCCTGACTGGCAACCTCATGTCCTTCCCCAGCTACCTGGCCGTGGACATGGAGGAGCATTACCACGCCCCTAAACAGGCCATCTTGTCCTTCCTCTATGGGGAGAACATCTGCTCCCAGCGCCCCTTGTTCCACAAACTGCGATTCCAGTTCTTCCGTTCCATGGACTGGAGGGCAAGGGTCACGCGCGAAGAGTGCGAAGAGGTAGGTGGGCTGTGGGATTAGGGGGAGGGGACCACATTGGAGAGACAGGGGACCTTGGGGGATCGGTTTGGGGATTTGGGGGTGACTAAGAATTGAAGGCTGGACCAGGGACGGGATGGGGTGCACCTGGAGAGTCATCATCTTCTCAGGGGGCTGTTTGTCCTTCCAGATCCAGGCTTTTGATCCAGGGCTCTGGGTGTGGAGGCGAGATCGCGCCCTCCTTTCTGAGACCACCTAAGGTAGGTCTGAAGGAAGGCGGTCGGAGTCCTCACAGGTACAGATGAAAGGATGTGTTGTCTCTTTAAGAAATCCCAGGAATCCAATGGCTGGACCCATGCTCATCGTCCCCCTCCTCATCACCTCCCCACACACTGAAGTGGACCCTCCAGGCACACAGCCAGGGACTGACTCAGCTCCCAGCCACAAGCTGACACACAGGCACCTCAGTGGGATGTGTGGGGGCCAGACCTCAAGATTTGGTGGAGTCATTTTAAACAGAGCAACTAGGTCCAAGCAGTCAATTTGTTGAAATGTTGAGTTTTTTGAAAACTGAGTAAGTTTCCAATTTTTTCCATATATTGTGACTTCCTGTTGTTCATTCACTTGGGCCTTTCTCCCTCAGGAATGCCAACCACAGGGATGTTCTGCACTGAAGTCAATGTCTAACAATAGGGTATCAGATGGAACAGTCTCTAAATCCAAAGATAAACAGATAAATCCCCACTAGCTCTGTCTTCATCCAAGTTTACATGCAAACAAGTAGCCCATGGCCAGATCACCGTGTGTCCTTCACTTCCCCTGGCTCACAATCTCTCCCCTTGGATCATTACACGTCTCCCCTCAAGTTCATGGTCAAGGAAGTTTGTCAGGATGAGCGAAGGTTGAGAAATACTGGTCCAGCATGGCTTGCCCTGATCGACACATGGGAGTTACAGATCGTGGCAGAGGACTGAGTTTTGGCTAAAATCTTGTGACCTCGCTACCTTAGTCCGTTCTGGCCGCTATAACAAAACACCACAGACTGGGTGGCTGATCAACAACAGACATTTGTTTCTCACCGTTCTGGAGGCTGGAAGGCTGCGATCAGGTGCTGGCACGGTGGGGTTCTGTGCTGCAGACGGCCAACATGTCGCCATGTCCTTACACAGTGGAAGGGGCGAGGCATCTCTGGCACCTTTTCTAAGGGCAGACAATAAGCTCAGTCTTAGGGGCCCACCCAATGACCTAACCACCTCCCAAAGGCCCCCACCTCCTAATACCATCACCTCAGGGGTAATGAATTTGGGGGACACAAACACTCACACCATAGCCCTAGCCTCGTTCAGACTCAGTATGATAGTTAAACATCCGGATCCAGGGTTAGGAGCAGGGATGGGGCACCTGGTCTCGTGGTCTGTGATGTGGACATGTCAGTGACGTTTGCAGTGTGCCTGGAAGTTTAGATGTGAAGGAGCACAAAAGGACCAAGGTGTGAGTGAGTGAGAGCAGCTCTCTCCCTAGATGTGCTGCCTCCAGACAGTCACCTAGAGTCCTGGCTGTAAACAGGTCACTGGGTACATTAAGGAATGTTGGGACTCAGGGTCGTCAAAGTCCAAGCATCACACCTGGAAACAGTGGTTCAGGAGTGGGGTTGAGAAGGGAGGACTGGAGATAAAATGGGGCCTACAGGTTAGCCAAACTCCGTAGAATTGCCTGAGATTTTAATAATCTTTACATGTGGAGAGCTGCCTGTTTGGAATGTGACATCCTGTCTCTTCCTCTTACCTCTAGATCGCTGAGCCCAGGGCAGACTCCATTTTCAGCAGGAAGTCAATCCAGATGCTCAGGACAGACAGGAGGAAGGGAAACACCATCCAGAGGAGCCCAGAACGGAGTCTGTAGGAGGACAATACGGAACCAGGGTTTTTTCAGATTCCATCCCTCCCTAAGGCTCCATCCCAAATTTCACATTGTTTAATTCAAACCTCCCCTGAGGCAGAAGCTGGAGGTTCCACATTTTCTACACCTGGTTGTAGCCTTCCAGAGCCATCTGAAGGTGGTGTTTAGTTCAGACTTGGAGGGAAATACTTTAAAGTATAAAATTAGAACCCTAAGTTTGTGATAGCTGAATGTAGGCCATACATTTTATGAGTTTGTTTAGAAAATGTTGCCCATAGGATTATTATATTTATTCTCATGTTTAATATTTATATACTTAGTGAGGTAGCTTTGAAATAGTCGCAGTTTTGAAGACACACTGTTCCTACAATGTTTTTAATTAGTATTATAGCTGGTATACATATGTCAATATAATTTTGTCTACATTTTCAAGCGATGTTTTTGTAGTTTAATCTATTATATTTATACAATATCAATTATCTTATAGCTAGGTGGTAGTTCTCCCATATTCTTTATTTTTTTGGTCTTTATTAGTGAATTGTGAGAATTCAGGTGTAATTTTTTACCTTGCCTGGATGACATGTGTGTATGTTAATATAGATCATTAAAGAGCACAGGGCAATGCATTTCTTGAGGAAATACAATAAAGATGAATTCTCACCTTCAGGATGTGTGTGGTCCTGTCAGTTTGACTAGCCTGCTCACTGTCAAGTGATAATGTAGCTTTATGACTTTGTGATTATTCAACCAAATTTCTTAACTCTGAGAAATAATCCTGAATTGTTTTCCACGTATTAGAAAAAAACAATACAAGTTAAGACAGATCCTAAGCTAGAGTCTGAGAGTGGGAAAGAGGGGGACAATAAAGAGGTAGAAAAAAAATGGGAAGAGCAGAGAGAAGGAAGAAAGCACCCCAGGTACCCGGACAATAACCTGAAATTCACATCAAGGACACGGATTCCCCAGGCACAAGAGAACACACACAGTAGTCACTACTTTACCCCTAATGGGAGTCCTTTTCACAACCTCCAATAACAGTTTCAGGTGGTAAAAGGACCAGTTTCAGGTGGCGCAGTGTGTGGTGAAGTAAAAACCATGGAAAAGAAATTAGGGTACTGGGGAAATTTCTGGGAAGAGCTCAGGCTGTTAAGGAAGATGAGCCTGGAGAAAGAGGAGCTACTAAGGTGAACCGTGGATTGTGGAGGAAAGCGTCCTGGGGGATGGGATCCTCAGAGAATGCTGTGACTTAAACTTCAGTGAGAGCCATCACTGCCGTTAAGAAGACAGATTAACTGCCTGAGCACTAGCCAACACTTTATGAGCTTACCATCTGCTAGGGAGGCTGCTAATCACTTTCCAAGTGTTGTCTCATTCAACACAGCAGGACTATTAGGGAAGTAATTTAAGATCATTCCTTTCCAGATGAGGACGCTAAGTAGGCTAGTAGGATTAAGAAAGCTTCCCAAGCTCTCAGGGTACAAAATTGGTAGAAGTGACATCTAAACCCAGGGTTATGTACCCACAGCCAGTACCCAGGATTCCCTGCTTACAGAAGACTGATTCCTTGGAGCAAATCCCTCACAACTTGATGGGCACAGAATCAGGTTATCTGAGTGCTAAAGAAATGCCTATGCACTTATCATTGCCCAAACTCCTTTCAAAAAATGTGGTGTAATCGTACATTTAATTCAACACAATATTCTAGCTAAGTGTACGGCAAAGGGGTATATGTTGTGATTGCGATTTTGTTGGGAGAAAGTCTTATAAAACCTGCACTGAAGAAAAATGACAGACAGTGCAGTGTTTATAGCCCTTTTTGTGGTACCTCTGGGGCTCCCTAGAAGACAATGGAATACTTATAAAGACACACTGAGCCCCCCAGGCACCATGGGCATTGGATAGCTGTACCAGGAAGAGGATTTATGTTCTTATGTCCTAGAATATTCACCAAGCTCCACACTGATGAGACAGCCGTGGACACCAGATCAGTGATGAGTGGATCCCTGGTTCTCTGGAGTCCTCTGGGCCTCCCTGCACTGTAGCATGTACCTATCGTCACATTTATCAGCGTCTTCCTTTTATTTGAATCATTTCTACATGAGTCCCTTACCTACTATACTGAGCCCCTCAAGGGCCATGGATTGAACATAGAAATGTATATGGAAGGTGATGAGTAAATACTTCATGGAACTGAACTTTGGACTCTATGTAAAACCAATAGGACAAAGGAATGCACTGTCTAGGCCAGGGGTGGGCAAACTTTTTGACTCGAGGGCCACAATGTGTTCTTAAACTGGACCGGAGGGCCGGAACAAAAGTATGGATGGAGTGTTTGTGTGAACTAATATAAATTCAAAGTAAACATCATTACATAAAAGGGTACGGTCTTTTTTTTCAATAGTTTTATTCATTTCAAACGGGCCGGATCCGGCCCGCGGGCCGTAGTTTGCCCACGGCTGGTCTAGGGGCATTTAAACATCATTATCTACACAGAAATGCCTAATATATTAAATATTGATTACTTTAGGCCCGTGGTCGGCAAACTGCGGCTCGCGAGCCACATGTAGCCCGTTGGCCCCTAGAGTGTCGCTCTTCCACAATATACCACGTGTGGGCGCTCATGTACAGTGCGATTGAAACTTCGTGGCCCATGCACAGAAGTCGGTATTTTGTGGAAGAGCCGGTATTTTGTGGAAGAGCCACACTCAAGGGGCCAAAGAGCCGCATGTGGCTTGCAAGCCACGGTTTGCCGACCATGGGCTATGCTAAAAAATTAAGAGCAGCTGGCTGGCGTGGCTCAGTGGTTGAGCATCAACCTATGAACCAGGGGGTCACAGTTTGATTTCAGGTTAGGACACATGCCCAGGTTTCAGGCTCAATCCCTAGTAGGGGGCATGTGGGAGTCAATGGATCAGTGATTCTCTCATCATTGATGTTTCTTTCTCTCTCTCCCTCTCCCTTCCTCTCTGAAATCAATAAAAAAAATATTTTTAAAAAACAGAACCATCTCTGTATATCACTTTGATAAGTTTGTAAAGCATGCTGCCATGTTTGGGAAGGGAGCTGCTAAAGAAAGATGCCTTCGCTGCAGTTTACAAGACCATTTCCAAAATGTGCTTCTTCAGCCCTTACAGTCAGCCTCCACTGTAGAAGCCTGTAACACTTACCCGGGGACCCCCTGTCACAGAAGGACACTCTCCCCATGAGTGGAGAGCACACTTTAGTCTGTCACATTGGATACTTGGATGTTAAGTCTATATCCTAAGACTGTCCTAACTGACCATAAAAGGGACAACTGAACACACAGGATTTGATCACCACGCATACAACACTAGTGCTATTACCACCAAATAAGGCCAT